CAAACAGGAAGCAAACTGCCCTTCTGCACAATTTCTGTGAAACACTTGGAAAGGTATTTCAAAGGCTCTACTGGGAATGAGCATTTTCAAACCAATCTACTTCTCTCCTCCCTCCATCTCCCCCCCCCCATATGTTTTCAGTCCAGGATTAGAAGAATATATTGCTTAAGGACACCATATAGTAATTTTCCGGGTATGGGTCATCAATTCATTATTCCATAAAACAACCGCTATTTCATTTGTAAGAGAACTGTGGGATGCAGACTTGTTTCTAAAACAATTTCAAGTTTATGCATATCATGAAGAAGAGGTCTGCAGATTATTCATTAGATGTTCTATTGCAGCAGTGTAAGGCTACATTAAAAAATGAGGACTGACAGTATATCCTAAACCATCTATTCTGAAAAGTACAGAAGCTTAATTTTTTAATAGAAACAGCTAATACCATTGTTAAATCAGTGTTAAAAAAATGAGTTATCTGAGAAAGAATGGTTATTTTTTTTTATCCTTACAAAACTTTAAATATGAAATATCTTCTGTTTTACTTGTACAAACACACCACCAGAAATGGGACAGGATAGGCATGCGTGTAGGGTTTTTAATATTAAAGTATTATTAAATATTAAAAGTATATACTAATCTTTTCCTATTATTTCTTGGTATCAATAAAATATTCACAAAATAATTTATTACAGATTAAGTTATATGATGAATTGGGAGATTACTATATATGTTAGAGTGTTAGCAAAAAAAAAACACAACAACTTTCTATTAGCTGCATGGTTTGCAGCCATAAGCTTGTATGTGGGTGTATGAAAATACATATAATTAAAATATTTATAATATTGTCAAATTGTTTATGATATAATTAGATGATATGCATAATACTAATGTGACGCCTTAAATCATACAGGCCTCACAGATTTCAATGGACTGGATTTTTTACTAAGATTTTTGACACGTTATTGTATAATGGTCTGTATATATTTTATTTCGGATTTTCAGTATTTCTAAAACTTCAGTATCACAAACTTATCTCCTCCATATGGAGAATGATTTTAACTACTGGCTATGAGTTGTAATGTTTCTCTTGGAAAAAGAATTAAATATAGAGAAATCTACTTGGCAGATATTTAATTTTACGGGAAAGGAGACAACAATAAGTATGATTTGCCATTACACATATTCTTTACTCTCTGTGTATAAATGAAATAAATTTACTCCTTGTTAATAAATAGAAATAATTATATTATTTGGCCTAGACAGTAGGAACAATACTATGGATTATTTATTTCTTATAACTGTATGTGGCTGAAAAAGGTTAATAATAATAAGGACAGACAGAATGCAAACACAAAAACACATTAGCATTTAGTTTTTTGATTTGAGAACTTCACAAATAACTATTTCAGAACCACTATTTGGTGAGATGGCTTCACGCTTGTTGGTATAATGTACAAAAAAGAGCAATTATGATAATTATAGGGCTCTCTATATGATTTAACACATGCACATGTGGGTGAGAATCAATGATGAGATCTTAAAATACTATTAAGTGAAAGTTTTGCCACTTTTGTTTTCAATTTCATTTGCAATAATGTCATCTTTGCTGTCTCCATGTTCTTTCAAGTATGTCATTTGATCAAACAACTGCTTGCTAAAATCTCAGCCATGTGCAATTAGGAATTCTAAACATGTGATTAAAAAAGTGAGACTACAGAATTTCAGACCATACATGCCATAAGAGATATCTTAATGTCTTAAGAGTTTGGAGAGGCAAAGCTTTTTCAACTGCAGAGGCTTTGTCAATAAAGTTATTACGCTAAGATGTTACATAAGTGAGGCATGCATTACAAAAATAAATAGGAAACTTAAAAAATGAAAAATCTAAGCATTACCAAGAAAGTGAGCACCACATATATACTATACATACCGTTATTAAATATACAGTTATTCTCCTGAAAGTGTTCTTTATTTTTTTAAAGAAAGAAACTTCGATTTTAAAGAAATATATGCTTACTGAGAAAGCAGATGACACGAACAACAGGTGAACAGGAAAAAAGGAAGTGTATGACTTCCTTAACCACTATAATGCTTTTGTTATAAAAACAGATTAATCTGAAAGCCCCCATCGGTCAGATGTCTTTTGCCTTAAAAAAATAATAATAATAAAAGAGACAGTAAGAGACCTCATTCCCAACTAAGCTCTTTTTCCCACCCACCCTAATATAAATACCGAAAGATCTGGAATGATTTTGCCATTTTCCCCACTTTTGTTTATTCCCAGGGAAGACCTGCTTCCGCTGGCTGTTCTCAGTTCAGAGAGTTCAAACTGAATTTAAAACAAGTCATTGGCTTGTCGGGTGGGGAGAGAAGATGAGGAGGAGGAGGAGGAGGAGGAGGAATTTTAGGCTATGTCTTGTATAAAGGCAAGAAGGCTCCTGAAAAATAATGTAGCCTGTATTTTGGTTGCGCAAACTGGAGGAAGTGCAACACTTGAAATGAAATCTAGCACTTCCCGACAGACGTTCTACACAATTCATGCAGGGCACACACAGCATCTGCAAGATGCCTGGCACCAGATCAAGAGCTGCACAACATATAATCTGAGCAAGAACAATACTGGCCATATAAAAATATATCCTCTTCAAATATATACCTCCATGCGTGTGAATGCACGTGTCCGCACCATGCACGCACACCCAGACAATTCCTTCTTTCTCACCAAGTGCCACAATTGTGGCCTCATCCACAAAGGTTCCATAAATGTACTATTACGACTGATGACTCTTCAGAAAGGTAAAATTTAGATTGCTCCAGTTTGAGGGAGATCAGATTGCCTTCTGCTGATACCCCCAATGTTTATTCTCTTCACCACCACACAGGCACACAGATTCCAATGCACGTGGAAGTGTGAAGTTTGTTGCCTTTTTCTTGAACACACACCAACAGATTTGTTTTTAATAAACGTCATTTAACAGTTCCTATAAATACATTTGGTTTGACAGCTATCTTGATTGTACAAGTACCATCTTCCTATTCTGATTCTCTCTACCCTCCCCTCCAAAAATCAACCCTAAATGAAAATATTTATTAATGGGTGAACAGACAAAGGTAACTTGCAATATGATGTCATATATCCTTCTGTTTATCCACAAACTAGACAGAATACATTCCACTGTGCTGAAGACATATGTGCCAGGTGAATGTTTAATTTTTTTACAAAGTTTTATAACTTTAAATCCACAACACTAAAACAGTGACAGCTTGAATTCATGGATCTCATCTACCCCATCAAAACTATACTCATGCATTTTTTTTTTTGGGAAAATACTACAATTGAGATGCCTAAATACTGGACAATTCACTATTTCCCAATCTTAACATTTTTAAAACGACATCATTTCCTACCAAAATTTATAAACTCCACATCCAATGCATAAAATAACTGCCTAATGTATGGGAATGCAGGTTTGTAAATAAACCCCAAATTATCTTAAAAAAAAAAAAAAAAAACTCATGCAAACAGTTCATAGTTCTTAGTTAAAACTAAATACTTCCTTAACAAATTGCATTACTCCATAATATCCTTTAGGAACAATATAATGAATCAACAAAGTTTACAGTTCTTGATTGTAACCAAAAAATTGGAAGTCATGGGGAAAAATAGTAACCATTCTAAAAGATGCCTCCATGATAAGGATAAATTTGCTGTATAAAATAATGTAATCTATCTATATGTGTTACATGTGTGCGTATCTGCGTATGTTTTTCTGCA